AGCAGGAAGTCAGAGCGGTACACAGCAGAAAGATCAGCCCTCACTTCCTGTTAACAGACAGAAGTGCTGTCACCTGAGGATCCCTCAAAGGGCCATACCAGCAGATGCACACTTGAGGATGGTAAGTCTGAGCAAATGAGGCTCATGTCAGACCTTTCAAAGCTCAGCTGCCCCCTTCAGACGTAGTCTTACATACACGATGTTAAAGAAGTCTAGGATGTGGTCTTGCTTGAATACATACTGGAGGCAACTGCACCGGGCCAGGTGTACCTCATTTATCCCAGAGTCACAGGACATACATTAGGTTTGCAGTAGCAGAACATACAATACTCATACTTCTGAATAAACTGCTTGTTCATCACTCTTAAAGTCTCCAAGTGAAAATAGTTTGGGCCAGATATAACCTTGAATTCCACGCTGTGGAGTTAGAGCAAGCATATGTTACCCAGATTGCCCTGGGAGTCACGCTAATAGACCCTTGGACACGCCCTAGGGTCTAATCTGCAAGTCCCGACTTACTTATGTTGACAAAGAATAACGAGATTAAAGAAGAAGATTAAAAAAAAAAGACTCCAAATATCTACCCCAGCCATAGACTGTCCAATTATGTAGTCACGAGGCATTGCAAGACAATTTTTCTACATCATTATTTTATATGTGGTTTTATTTTATTTGTTTTTTGCCTTCTAAACCTATGCATTGAGATATGAAGAAATTTGTATCCAGCATCCTTCATCACCTGGGGGCATCATTTCATTACGTGAAACACTCACTTGCTTTGGGCATGTCCTTCCTTTCAACTCCGTTGTGAATGATAGGATGCCAAATTATAGTGTCTCAATGAAATCCCAGCAATTTGCATTCATCATTAGCTTAATCCATGATATTTTAATCAGGGAAGAATTGCTAGAGGTGACACACCTCTGCCTAAAGCTTAGTCTACCTTAGCTACACTTTCATGCTGAAACTCTTTCTCATCCTGGATCACTCTGCTGAGGCAGAGAGCTGATTTGGACCAGAAGCCAGGCTCAGATCCTGATCTACCTCAGGGGTTTGTAGCAACAGTAAAGATAATGTTTGTAACCTTATCCAGAACAGTGCTTGACAAATAGCCCATGCTCATTAAGTATAAATGGAGTTTAAATCTGACAGTTTAGTCTTCTGGAATTTAGCATGTGCAGAAATTCTTTATTGTCTATGATTTTTACTGCCATGGATGGGTTTTATTGAAAAACCTCTAAATTTCAGCAATAAATTAATTGCTAGGGTTTTAGAGGATGAGTTTGTTGTGTTCTGAACCAAAATAAAAGTGCTTTCCGCTAAAAGTATTTCCTTGTACGTGAAATTAAGGTATGTGACTACATGCCAAGCAAAGGACAAATAAATATCATATTCTGGGCCACGACTTGCCCTTTTGGAAGCTTTTTTGAGAAAATTAATGAATGTATCCATGAATTTGTTGGACTCAAGCAAATTTTCACTGAGCTGTTGGATCGCTGACTGTTAGATGGATTAAAGGTTATTGGAGAGGGGCCACAGTTGACAGTGTAGCTGATGGACCAGGAAACAGTGAGCCTGAACAATGATGCAGGCGAAAGAAAATCACTCCATATAGGGATTAAGACTTTAATTGGCTTCTCAAGGCACTTGCAGACTCTATTCAGGAGTTAATTCTGAATCTTAAAGGAATACTGGAAGAGTGCAGTCATGATCATTTAGGGCTTTCTATTTTACATTCATAAATATTAATTGAACCTATTACCACTGTCTAAAAGTGGTCTAATAAATATTTACTAAGAGCAGCCGGTTATTAGACTTCTCAGTGCTTCCAACCGTGTTAATTTTGGCAACCAATGCACAAATTACTAAGGTTGTTTAGGGATTCTAAACTTGGAAGGGGCAAAGGTGGGTGCATAGGAGGGAGTTATTTGAAAATGAGCAGGCAAGGGACAGGATAGTGGCAGGTGGTGGCTCAACTCCCTCCATCGATAGTTACCGCCCAGTCTCTTCATCCACTCACACGATCCAGGCTCTGCTGATCAGAGGTGTCTGCCTTGAGCTTCTGAGCCAGTGATGCAAAGAAGCAGGGACTACAGGAAGCCTATGGTGGCCAAGTGGGAGCAGGGACAGCAGTGCTAGCAGCAGCAGCTGTGTCTGCAGTGCAGGCTGCAGCGTGTGTCCCGCGAGAGTGATGTCTGTGCAGTCGTAACCGGATAAGTTGGCTCTGCTGTGTGATTTTGGGTGGTGTTCCTGGCTGCATGGCCTGAGTCTGCTTTTCCATCCTCCTTTGGATTCTGGGGCCCACCAAAAGCATGTTCACAAATTTCTTTCTGCTAAATAAGCCAGAGTCAGTTTCTCTCGCTTGTAACTAAGAATATAATGTGATGAAGAAATTAACTCAATTTTTAAAAAGCCAGTGTTAGGCTGTCAAAAATTTCCATGGATTGGATTTGGTATGGCACAGCAGTTTGAGACCTCCCTGATAAATTATAAGCTCCTTTATGAATCAAGTGGGAGAAGAGAAAATAGGAGCAGAATCCATACATTTAGGTTTCTTCAATTTTTTCTCCTCATTATCAAAGCAATACATCATCCTATCTTTTTAAAATGTTATTTTTAACAGAGGAATATTATAAAGTAATTGTTTAACAAATTGTTATAGGTTCAAAGAAAAGGCAAGGGTCAGGGATGGAATGGCTGGTGCACAGGGCATGTCTAGTTTGCCCAGTGCCTGGGACACACCACGGTGCCTGTGACAAGCTAGCTGGAAAATGCATATTCCAGAACACCGAGAACCACCGTGCAGCCTGGTGAGAAAGACAAAGGAGGCTTCTCCTTTTCTTTCTTTTAACAGTCGTGCCAATCAGTAAATGTTTTCTACTTTGGGCAAAACATTTGCTAGCAATCTGGAGAAACTCAGAGAGGTCTGAGTCACCTGACTGGCCTTAAAGGAAACCCATTCACTCATTCATTCATTCATTCATCTTTCAAATGTTTGTTAGCCTCTACCATGTTCAACCCGATGGACACAAAGGTGGGGTAGGTATCACCCTTGTCCTCTGAGGCTTCCAGTTAACAGGTATAATTGTTCACCTGCCTAGAGGCCTGTGTGGCCTCCTGGGGCCTCACAACACACATGAGCCTATTAGATACATTTATTTACTTATTTTTGGTTAACATTTTAAGCATGTACAACCAATTACCATAGCCTATGGTGGTTTTTTTAAAAAATTGATATTCACGGCAGTATCTTGAGTTCACAGATTTAAGCAGTATATAATCAGAAAGTTATAAATATCTGAGATTATACAGGCAGAGGTATGTTCCCAAAGGTGACATGTACAAGTGCATTAATTAAAAGCATGCATCTAAAATTATGACCAAGCTCTTTTTAAAATGCAGAAATGTAAAATTACACGTTTGTTAAAAAAGTTTTTTAAAGATTGGCACCTGAGCTAACATCTGTTGCGAACCATTTTTTTTTCCTTCTCCCCAAAGCCCCCCAGTACATAGTTACTTACTGTAGTTGTGAGAGCCTCTGGCTCTGGTGTGTGGGACACGCCTCAGCATGGCTTGATGAACAGTGCCATGTCCGTGCCCGGGATCCGAACCCGAGAAACCCTGGGCCGCTGAAGTGGAGTGTGAGAACTTAACCACTTGGCCACGGGGCCGGCCCCTATATGTTTTTAAAAAGTGAACAAATTATCTGTACACTTCCAAAATCAAACGTGGCTTATATCAGAGATGGATAACAGCTACAGGCTTGTTTTCTTCAAAGCCAACTATCTAATATTTTTCTTGTTACCTAAACAATAGCAATGGTGTTGAAAGAAAATTACACCTCATTTTAATCGCCAGTCTAGTGTTAAGGAAGTTCTGCAAGAAAGTAATGCAACTAGGGGTCGGCCCAGTGGCACAGCGGTTAAGTGCGCACGTTCCGCTTCACGGTGGCCTGGGGTTCGCCGGCTCGGATCCCAGGCGCGGACATGGCACCGCTTGGCAAAGCCATGCTGTGGTAGGCGTCCCACATATAAAGTAGAGGAAGATTGGCATGGGTGTTAGCTCAGGGCCAGTCTTCCTCAGCAAGGAGAGGAGGACTGGCAGTAGTTAGCTCAGGGCTAATCTTCCTCAAAGAAAGTAAAGCAACTGAAAGGCTTCAAACTTCAAATTAAAAACCTTCCAGGCTCAGATTAAAATATGGAATGTTTCAGATGAAAAATAAACATACAATTGGTTTATTGAATGGAATCCAAAGTTGTTGACATTTATTTGAATCTTGGAACTACTAAATTTCATTTCTCTAAATATTTCTTTCTATTACTTTCGTCTTAGTGCAGTGCGTTTTCTCAAATAGCTTACGAAGTTATTCTCTGCAAAGCACTTCTGTTTGCTGCTGTTAAGACTGAACAAAAACTATTTTGCATTAACTTGATACATGTATTTTTGCTATCAAATTTTATCATGACAGATATCTAACAATTTTTCCAATAACAAAAAATAGTATAATTTTGTTCTATCAGCACTGCATTAAAAAATGTTAACGTTAGCACAAAGAACCAACATCTTCTGTGGTTATTAGATGTTGAGTTGGATGCACCTACAGTTCTCCTGTGTTTCAGCTTCACTCTCATACTACGCCACACTTGTAACACTTCTGGTCACCAAATGTACAGGGATTTTCCCCCAGACCAAGCACTTCTCCAGGACACAAGCTTGGTATCCTATAATTTAAGTCAATTCTGACACTGTCTACCTGGAGGTAGCATCAGAAGCCACAGTCTAAGGGCTCAGTCCCACAAGACTGCTCCCACCCTACTTCAGAGGTCAATATCAAGTAGTAAGTCCCCAGGTTACCTACAACTTCTGTCCATCTTGGCTACAAATCTGAGGTTCCCACAAACCCCTCCTTGGGTTCCATTAATTTGCTAGAGCAGCTCACAAAACTCAGGGAAACATTTACTTACATTTACCAGATTATTAAAGGGTACAGTAAAGGATACAGATGAACAGCCAGATGAGATCCACAGGGCGATGTCTGGGAGGATCCTGAGCTTAGGAGCTTCTGTCCATGAAGTTGGGGTGTGTCACCTTCCTGGTACGTGGACGCCTTCACCCACCTGGGAGCTCTCCAAACCCCTTACTACTGGGATTTTATGGAGGCTTCCTCACGTAGGCACGATCAATTATTAACTCCATTTGCAGCCCGTCTCCCTTCTCTGGAGGATGGGGTGGGGGATGGGGGGCTGCAGATCCTAAGCTTCTGATCACGGCTTGGTATTTGCGGTGACCAGCCCACATCCAGGGCCCATCCAGGAGCCCACGCAGAGTCATCTCATTGGGACAGAAGATGCTCTTATTCCTCCTATCACTTCGGAATTTACGAGGGTTTAGAAGCTCTGTGTCTGGGCGTGAAGACCAAATATGAATTTCGTATTATAAATCACAATATCATATATATATTTTAAATCTCTTACTAGAGAGAAATCCTATGAACAGAATGCAGAATTTCTTGAAATTTAAAGACTGAAGAACCTCAAAAGGCAAAATCCAATCAAGCGATTGAGCAGCCTGAAAGGAGGTTAAAGACACTTAAATATCTTAAGACCTAAGTTAGCGTCTGGGCTTCCCCTCCTTCCAGGTACTGCACCCTTGCTAAGTAACAACCTCTCCGAGCAGTTCCTCCACCTGTCGAATGGGGATTAATACCCACTTCACAGGACTGTTGTGAAAATTAAATTAGTGAGTGTAAGATGTCTGTCTTGTGAGACAGGGCCATCTGCAAGGACTCTGGCCTAACAAGATAAGGCCTCTAACCAATTAATATGTTAGGAGAGTCAGGTAGAGGCCACCGAGATCCACATTCCGCAGTTTGGGCACTTTCCTGGGCTTACACGTGGCCCCGAGCACCTAGGAGTCATGTGAAGGTGATCCTAGCCTCATTACCATAGTAAAAATCACACTCAGGGGTGGAGAGCTAGCGTGCTGATGATACATGCAACGCACGTGGTGGCGTGTCGAACAACAGCGCAAGCGCAAGGAAAACCCCATCTCCACGAGCCATGATACTACACTCTACAGGCACTCCTCCTCAGCCTTCGCCTAATAAAACCCCCATAATCCTGCTCCCTAACTAGTCAGTCACTTGCCCTTTCCTTTCCCACAGGCCCCCTTGTGCCTCCCTTGTGCACAAGCTAATAAACTTTCACTTTTCTACTCCCGTCTGTTGTCTCTCCTGATTTCCATCCTGGGGGACAATAAAAACCCAATGTTCTGGTCACAGTAGCAAGTAACTCAACAAATATTTATTCTTTATCTTTCTTTTCTTTAGGAGCTTAAGATCCAGTTGGGATGATAAACTGTAAACCCCTGAAGAGGTAAAGAAAAATCCAAGCAGTAAGCCACAATTCACATGCACTGAGGTGGCTGGAGAAGATGATCTTTAGTGTCCCTTCCAGCTCTAAACATCGATTATTCTCTGGCAGCCGCATGAAAAGTGTCACCGGGCAGTGCATGATGAATTGGCAGCTGGGAGGTGCAGACACTAAGGGCTGTGAGGTCGAAGAAGGGAGGGGCTGCCCCTGGCCAGAATGGTTTAGGAAGACCATTAAAAAATTCCGAGCTGTCTGAGCTGCAACAAAGCCCAATTCAATTAGAGCGCCTGGCAAGAGTCTGATGATAATACAAATTCAGGGTAAGCTGAGGAGAATAAGAAACATAAAATACCATAGAGAAAGAAGAAAGGAAAAGGCAGTATCAGCAATTTGGTTTGGGAAACACACAAAGAATACTAAACAGCTTCATACTTTTCATCCTGACAATAGTCTTGGAGGGTAGGCAAGTATATCAGCCCTGCTGAGAATCCCCTGTGAGTGAGCAATCTGGTAGAAATATGTTCGATGACAATAATAGACAACCTGGCCAACAATGGCTTAAACCAATCAAGTGGGATTTTTCCCTAAAAAGAAAGAACTCTAAAGGTGGACGGTCCAGGGTTGATGCCTGTGCATTATAACACAGCCAAGACAGGGCTCCTTCCAGCTCTCTGCCTCCTCTTCCTTCGCATGATGGCACTTGTTGCCTTCTGGTCAGCAGATGTCTGTTGTGCCCGCAGGCATCACATTTGCAATTCAGACAGGAAGCAGAGAGAAGGGCAAAGGAGCAAAGCATGAGGGCAAAATGGCATACCCACTGAGTCTGTGCCTTTTTATTAAGAAAGCTAAAGTGTTCCTGGAAGATTGCCCAGTAGATTTCCTCTTGCAGCCTGCTGGCCAAAATTGTGTCTCATGGTTGTTCCTAGTGGTAAGGAGAGTGAGGAGAAGGGGAATGTGGATGGGTTAGTCAGGCGACCAAGGATGAGGCAAAAGTGTTGAAGCCTTCTGAAAAAAGTTACTACGAAAGATAAAACCAGGGAGTTGTTTTCCTCAAATAGAAATTTATATCCTATTTTTTTTTTCTTGGTGAGGAAGATTGGCCCTGAGCTAACATCTGTGCCAATCTTCCTCTATTTTGTATGTGGGACACTGCCACAGTATGGCTTGATAAGCAGTGTGTAGGTCCATACCTGTGATCAGCAACCCCAGGTTGCTGAAGCAGGGCATGTGAACTTAACCACTATGCCACTGGGCCTATTTTTTAAAAAATCAAACTTTTAAAAACCTTGTGATAATTGGAGATTCACAGGTAGTTCTAAGAAACAATACAGAGAGGTCCCCTGAACCCTTTAACCTATTCCCCCTGTGGGGACCTGGAATTGGCCACCCCAAGATATGTCTCTTTGGCATCAGGATTATTTGAAGCTGATTGCTTTTGATAAACTGGGACAGGGAAGGAGGCTCTGAGGAATGGAACTCGCCCTTTGTTAGCACACGTTTACATTTGTAAGGTAAATCTCTATCTGTAAAAGGTGCCCCCCTCTCTGTACCAGGAAGAGGAAAGGAGATGACCTTCTCTCTAGAAACTCTTAATCAATACCAAAGGCAAGGACTTAAATCTGCATTTTATTGTGCTAGTCTGGTAACCTCCTGTAACTGACTTCCCTCCCCCTCCCAACTTTGGCATTTCTTAAGGATTAAGCATCTTTCCTTAGGCTAGGAACTGATTGCTGCGCTCACCTGTGACCACCCAGCTCCAGACAATTGACTAGCCTCCTGCTACGCCCACCGAGATAGCCGACCATTACCTGCTGTGTCCATCAAGCACTGTGCCGACAGGGCAATCTTGTGACTATTGTGGGAGGGACATTTCAATCACATGTGAAACACCCTGTTTGGGGGTATATAACCACTCTGTGCACCCCACTTCTTCAGTGCCCTTTCTTCCTTCGGGAAGAAAGGCCCCGGGCCATGGTTCCTCATAAAGCTTTGTTTAATTTTCTCTTGCTCTTCTGTCTCATGTGAATTTACTTCGTTCTCCAGCCAGACGAACCCCCATTTGGGGAGAGGAAATGTCTTCCTCCCCTACACCCCCAAGGGTAACATCTTGCAAAACTACAGTACAATATCACCACTGAGATTGACATGGATACAGTCCAAAGACAGAACATTTCCATCACCACAAGGATCCTTCATGTTGTCCTTTTACAACTACACCTACTTCCCTCCTGCCCTTTGCGTTAATCTTATTTTCCGGCAACCGCTAATCTGTTCTCCAGCTTTCTAATCTTGTCATTTCAAGAATGTTATATAAATGAAATCAAACAGTATGCAACCTTTTGGAATCGGCTTTTTTCACTCAGCATAAATCTCTGGAGATTCATCTGGGTTGTTGTTTGTGCAATAATTCATTTCTTCTTGTTCCTGAATGGTATTTCATGCAGTGGATGTAACACAGTTTGTTTAATTGCTCACCTGTTGAAAGACATCTGGGTTGTTTTGGCTGTTACAAATAAAGATGGTATAAACATTCGTGTACAGGTTTTTATGTTAATATAAATTTTTCTTTCATCACTGTAACTGTGTAGGAGTACAATTGCTATGTTGTATGGTAGTTGCATTTTTGGTTTTTTAAGAAACTGCCAAGTTATTTTCTAGAGTGGCTATACCATTTTACGTTCCTACCAGCAGTGTACTAGCAATCTAGTTTCTCTGCATCTTTGCCAGCATATGGTGTTATCACTACTTCTTTTTTTAGCCATTCTGATTGATGGGAAGTGACATATCATTGTGCCTTTAATTTGCATACCCCTAATCACTAATGATGTTAAACATTGTCGTATCTGCTTATTTGACTACTAGATGCCCTCTTCAGTGAAATGGCTCTTCATATCTTTTGCTCATTTTCTAACTGAAGTACTTTTTCACTTTCAAGTTTTGAGAGTTCTTTATATAGCCAAGATACTAGTCCTTAGTTAGATATGGTTTACACATATTTTCTCTTGGTCTGTAGCTTGTCTTTTTATCTTCTTAACATAGTCTTTCACAGAGCAAAATTTTTAATTCTGTTGATGTCCAACTTACTGATTTTTCCTTCTATGGATCATGCTTTTGGAGCCAAGTATAAGAATTCTTTGCCTTGTCCTAGATCCCAAAGATTTTCTCCTGAGTTTTTTGTAAAAGTGTTATAGTTTTACATTTTATCTTAAATCCGTCATCCATTTTGAGTTAATTTTTATAGAAGGTGTGAGACCTAAGTCAAGGTTTATTTTTTTCCTTATGGATGGATATCCACTTGCTTCAGCACCATTTCTTGAAAAGGCCATCTTTCATCCATTGAATTTCTTTTGTACTTCTGTCAAAAATTGTTGGGCATATTTTGGGGGTTCTATTTCTGGTTTCTTTATTCTGTTTCAACGATCTGTATGTCTGTTCCTCCACCAACACCACACAATCTTGAGTACTGTAGCTCCAAAAACAAAATCTCAAAATTGGGTAAAAGATTCCTCCCACTTGAGTTTTTTTTTTTTTGATTTTATTTTTCCTTTTTCTTCCCAAAGCATCCTGGTACACAGTTGTGTATTTCTAGTCGTGGGTCCTTCTAGTTGTGGCATGTGGGATGCCATCTCAGCATGGCTTGACGAGGAGTGCCATGTCTGTGCCCAGGATTCCAAATGGCGAAACCCTGGGCCGTCAAAGCGGAGTGTGAGAACCCAACCCCTTGGCCATGGGGCCAGCCCCTTCCCACTTGA